AACCAAAGATAAAAGCTGACCAGGCCTAGCAGGAGAGGCCTGGAGTTCTGAGGATCTGGGTTCAAGGGTACTGTGTTCAGGGTTAGAGTGGCGACATAAATCTATAGGATATGAGATACGGTAGGGAGGGGCTCCTGGTTGACCCAGTGGACTAAAAAAGAATGTGGGGAATTTTATTACTTTACAGTCACCTACTCCAGAGAGTTGTGAAAATCACATAAGAGTACCTGACACTTACTAAGAATTCAATAGAAGGTAGCCACAATTAATGATGCTAAAAGAGTTCACTAAAGACTTCTGTTCCCATGTTTCTATTTCATCTTCCTTTTATCCTTATGAAATACTGGTGTGGATATGGTGAATGAAGATGAACTATGGAACATAAGTTTGGGACGGTGAGTAATGCCAATTACGAAAAATTCTTTATACTCACTAGAAACAATACAGTTTTATAACAGTAAGTCATTACTAGACTATATCAGTAACAATGATGACTTTTTTCCCAAAGAAGTTGGTCTTCATGAAGATATAGGCACTTAAGAAGTTAGGAAACAGTGACTGGCTACATACGGGGTTTCCTAAGAAAAAGTTAATAGGATGCTACACAGAAGGTTTGGGAAAGGTGTTTGGCAGGGAGTCTACCATCAGCTAAAAAGCATCATCTACCTGGCAGGGGAAGATGGGTGCAAAAGGAAAGACACATAACTGTTATAACAGAAAAGAATTTAAGTTTTAGGGATGCCTGGGTGACTCAGTCGGTTAAGTGGCTGCCTTCAGCTCAGGTCATGATCTCAGGGTCCTGGGACAGAGCCCCGCATCGGGCTCCCTGCTCAGCGGGGAACCTGCTTCTCCCTCTGCCTGCCGCTCCCCCTGCTTGTGCTCTCTCTCTCTCTGACAAATAAATAAAATCTTTTTTAAAAAGAATTTAAGCTTTAAAATTTAATATTAGTCTACACTTCTAATTGTAGAATAAGCTATTACATGAAAGGCATTCATTGGAAAACTCTGCCCAATAGTTTACCATAATACTTCCCACCCTTACCCCAGATCAATATTCAGACTCCATATTAGCTGAAGGAACAGCAAGACTGTCAAAGGGAACATAGGATTTGACAATAAAGAAAATAATGAAATTAGGAGAATAAAATGCTAACGAGAAAAGAAGGCGAGTAATCTTCAATGGGCTGTTTTTAATAAAACTATATTCAAACTGAGTATTTTCTGCCTTACTCTCCCTTCCTTCGATTCAGTCTGCTAAGAGATTTATTCCTGACAGGATCCAGTCAGGGAAACAGAAACCCCATTAAGTATTTCAAAAGAGATAACATAAAAAATTGGTCAACCAAGAGTTGTTGGAGAACCAAAAGCACAAAGACAGAAAAGGGTACCCCAGACATCCAAGGGCAGGAAGCAGTACTCCCTCAGGCATAAAGGGAGGAGGCTGGGGTTCTCAGAGCCTAGAAGCTAGAGGAGAGCCCTTGCCCAGAGCCCAGAGCCCAGAGCCCAGAGCTGGGGCTCAGCCGCTGCTGGGGCTTCTGAGGAACAGGATGAGGTCAGTTCTGAAAGTGTCAGGAAAAGAAGCTGGAACCTAGAAGCAGGAGCTACTACTCTGTCAGTTCAAGAGCCACTGCTGTGGTGGGGCTGCCAGAAACAGGAAGCAAATAGGAAAGCGCAAGCCCCTTTCTCTCGTCCTGCAGCTCGGCAGCCTCCCCATCCAGCACTGGCGGGGCCCAACAGGAAACCAACCGGCATGAAAGAAATAGGGCTTGCAGAGTCCCAGCGGTATAAAGCAGTGTGTGGAAGGGTGGGCGTGTGGCTGAGAGACAATAGCTGGACGACGCATGCACTACACATTTAGAAAGAGAAATTTATTCCTGTTCAGGTCTCTGACTCACATCTTAATTTACAACAAACTAATTTGCCTCAAAATACTGCGAACAGGGACAAAAGAAGTGGCAGGGTTATCCAACATCAGACAGAGTCCAACAGAACCATGCTTGCCAGGACCTTTTCTTACACCTTAGAGAAGTATTCTAATTCTGTCCTAATTGTTCTTACCTATGAAAAATGGGCTCCTACGAAGCCATATGCAGGCCTGCTTAAAACAATAAGCTTTTCTAACCCCCCGAGCACAACATACTCCGGGAGCATGGTCTGGATGCTTATCAAACAAGTTCCTGAGCTGTTCTCTGAAGTTTCTGGGCAAGTACAAACAACAGAGTCAAATAAATGCCTTTTAAAAGCAAGGCAGTGGAGCACGTACCCTGTCAGTGAGATCCTCATATCCCCACAGAGTAAACAGTAACATGAGAATATTTATACTAAACAAAATTGTATATCAAGCCTGCTTTGGCTCAGCCAGAGGGAATGATAAATTCCTTGCAGATCTCTCATAGAGTGGTCCTTTGTGGGCCATGGACGCCACTTCCAAGACAGTACAAACCAATTACAGAGCAAGGCTTTTCATTATGTTGAGGAATGAAAATATCATCCCCCGCCATTTTGTTTTATTTTGCAGTTGTATTTTATTTAGCCCACCCCCTGCCCCTTACGTTGAAATAATTTTAATTTATTGGTGAGTCAAGCCCAAATTCAGGTTGGAAACAAAGGCCGGCCCTCCCTGCAATACTGACATCAAAAGTCCTTATCACCCTCATAACCTAGCTTTCTGCTTTCCTTGTCCTTCTTCCAAGAAACTAAAAGTTGAAGTTCAAAATGGGATAGAAGAATAGCACTAAAGAGTCAATAAACTGTAAAATCTATTTGCCCACATCAATTTGTTCTATTCGCAACTGGCACAGGTCATGGGCAAAGCCCTCGGGTAGGAGCCGGAGGTTAGACAGGCTAGGAAGCCACACTCCATACAATGTCCACTCTGTGGCCCAACGAAAAGAAAAGTACTGCCGAAACATTTCCACAAACCGTCAGTTTGCTTTTAAGAGGCCAATAAGAGAAAAGGTTAATAGGAGTCAGGGTGTTTCTTAGCTCATTTTGTCAGATTTTCTCAACCCAAGCTGATAATCCTTAGTTGTTACAGACCCACCCCAGCTACTTCCACCGGCTCCTGCACAGAAAGAGCTGGGGCACATCCTGCAGCTGTCCACAGCGCAGACCTCCAGGGACTCACAGCTGCTTCAGACTTCCCAAAGAGCTGTGCTGGGGCAACGGGGAGGGGGAGGAGATAAAGACAACAGAAGGAAAAGGGGAATTACAGTATGGACAGGAGGTAAGAAATGTGATTGTGCTGGTTTTGAAAATTACTTATTTAACAAAAATAGCAAATTATTGCTTTTAAATAGACAGCTGAATCAAAGGCCAAATTTAATTAACTCTATTTTAAACCATTAACTAAACCTTACATGCAGGGCCAGAGTCCATCATCATAGGTTTAAAGGGAAAAACAGGTCTTAGATGCTTGTATACTTCACCAGATATTAGAAATTTGCCAACATTTTATTTAGAAAGTGTAGGCTTAGTAAAATCAACTCACTCAGATTTTTTTTTAACTTTTGTGAAATTAGTTATATACTTTTTTAATTAATTGTAAAATACACATACCATAAAATTTACCATTTAAACCATTTTTAAATACAGTTCAGTGGCATTTAGTATTCACATTGATGTGCAACCATCGCCACCATCCATTTCCAGAACTTTTTTCAACTTCAAAAACTGAAACTCTGTACTCATTAAATGGGTATTTGGCTTTATATAGGCCTTACTCAAAGCCAGTAGCCTAGAATGCAGTGATAGGAACCTGAAGAGGCTAATTCACATAACTGGCAAATCAATCAACTCCTCCTACAACCCCAAATGATCCAGTGGCATCAGATGCTTTTACCCTCTCTCATCTGTTTAATATTGATGCCCAAAACTGAACCAAAGCTCTACAACAGATCTGCAAGAGTATGAATAATATATTTCATTTTTACATTACAGTTTACCAAGTATTTCCATTTTATTCCCCCAGAATATAGCCTTCAATCAAGGCAGGAACTATGTTCCCTAATTAATAGGTAATGGAGATACAGGTCTGTGACTCAACAGTCTTACACAATTCACAGTGCTCACCATAGCACTCTGAAACAAATAATACATTATATGTTTTAAAAAAAAGAAGAATATAGCAGAAGGGAAAAATGAAAGGGGGGAAATCGGAGGGGGAGACGAACCATGAGAGACCATGGACTCTGAGAAACAAACTGAGGGTTCTAGAGGGAAGGGGGGTGGGGGGATGGGCTAGCCTGGTGATGGGTATTAAAGAGGGCACGTACTGAATGGAGCACTGGGTGTTATATGCAAACAATGAATCATGGAACACTACATCAAAAACTAATGATGTAATGTATGGTGATTAACATAACACAATAAAATTAAAAAAAAAAATAAATCTTCAAAAAAAAAAATAGGTAATGGAACTATGGCTATATGGAAGGTGATAGCAAGGACCATAACCCACGTCCTCTAATCCAGTGCTCACGCTACTAGGCCATGTGGCCTCTACCAAAGTAAGAGAAGAATGAAGCGCTTCTGCTTCTCAGCTTTCACAGAGAAATTGGCCCATCAGGTCTAAAAGGACAGCATTTGCTCTCTTCACCACAGCAATTAAACTTCTTTATGACTGAAAACCACACCTAATCCATCACTTCTCTATCTTTGTTGTATTTATAGTGACAGTGAAAAGAAAACACCCATAGAATCACAATTCTGGAACAAAATTAATGCAATCATATTCAAGAGTCAAATGTAAGTTAAAAAAATGATAGGTGACTAAATCCTATAAAAAGATTGAGTTCAACCTCTTTTTTATTCTTTTACTCATTAAAATAAATTCACATTATAGGTTCTTACTAGACAAGAACATAATCTTTCTTGCTAAACAAAATCTATGGAAAAAATTCATTTCTTTGTGCCTTATGGAGAGAAAGCACCTTGTACTAAAGCAATATAAATACTAAGGATTTACATAAAATTGCCAGAATCAACAAGTGGCTTCTTTTAGTTCACAAAGAGGCTACATATTTTGATTTCTCTCAAATAAAATTCTTCCACTGATACCCTTCTCTTTGCTCAAAAGCAATACATTCCCTAAATCTTCAGATTTTCCATTTAAACTCCAAAAAAGATAAACACAATTCCTTGAAGTAATGCCCAATACCACCATTCCATCTCCCTATATAAACATTAAAAAATTAGACAAGTCTGGCTTTTGGAGTTACCTCTAAAATGAACAACAGGTCATCCTAAAAGTGGGAAGGTAAAAATGGACAATCATGGCTTTGAAAAAGGAACTTTATTTTCTAATTCTCCCCACACTTTAGTCACTTAGTACTTGATCTTTTAAAGTGTATGTTTTAAAAAATGATTACTCAAAAAATGAGAGTTGAATACAGAACTCGGGAATAAAGAGTTCAGGAAAATCAAGTAAGTTGAATCCGTTTTTAGGTTTGTTCATGATAATTAAAGGTAGTTCAGCAACCATTTTATTCATCCAATTCAGGAAGGCTTCTAATGTACACAAGGACATAAACTTGATACAGAGTAGGTTCTCATGAAGTTTTAACAACAGCTAGAAACACCTTAGGGTGATTACAGACATTCGATAAACACCTGTTTTTGTTGAACAGAGAATTTTCCACCACACAACTACAACCAAGCTCTTTGTATCTTCTTTTCACCTTCATTGGCCAAAAGAAAACTTTGTCGTGATTGATATTTTCCTTAAAATTTAAGTGAAGCCTTAGATTGGATCACATGAAAATACTTCCTTCCCCATATCTTCCAGAATTCCCCAATACTTTCTTTTACAGCACATTCGGCACAGTTCTTGCATTCTTGGGGTGTAAATCCAATCAATGCTCTTCCCATAGTACCAATTCCCTGATCACTCACCAACTTTTTAACTTGAGCTTCTATGTAATTAGGATACAAAAGAAGAATGATCCCAAGGTCACTGTAAGCCATGTGTTGAGAGTCTTCTGAGGTTTCTGTAGCTTCTTGGTTCTTCTGGCAACATTGCAAGCTATCTCAATTTTCCCTTCATGAGGAAAAGTCATTGTTTGGACACCCTTCAATCCATTGGCATTTGAGCCCTGAATAGCATTCAAGATCTCTTTTCCCAAAGCCAAGTCTTGAGAGTCTATGGTAACATTGCAGCTCATCACGTATGGGCTGGCTCCAATGCCTAAGTCATTACAAAAGCATGTTAATCAAGCAAAGCAAAAGCCTCATTTTTGAAGATTTTATCCTTTAGCCAATTTCAATCCAAGAAACTTCCTTTACTTTATTTAAAAAGAGTTCAAATATTCCTCATTATCAACTCCAGAATTTTCTAAAGGTTATTTGTTAATTTGTTTGTTTATATATAACAGAGCTATATTTGAGCTAAGGCAGATACTTTTATCTACTCTAAAAGTACCTGAAAGATACTTTTTCTAGAATAGTTAAGAAGAGCCCAGACCTTCTAAAATATCAACAGAAAAAGGAAAGCACACTTGATAACTAAATATCAACAGCAGCAAAAACCCTTGGCCTTTCATTCATCTTCAAGGCCATTTCCACAGGGGTTGAAATTCAGTGCCAAGACTCAGGGTCAGGAAGATAGAAGTAAACCACACTATGTACCCATCCCTTCCTCCCCAAATACACACCTGTCATCATTGAGTTACGTTAACATCTGATTCAAATTAATCTCAACAACAGTCTTGACTAGGGAAGAAGGTCTCTAAAAAGTGACACAGGGCCTTGGAATTGGCAAGGGCAAAGACACTTGTGTCTCATGAAATGTGGATTTGGCAGGCGTGGGAGTATTATGTATACCTTCTTCGGTATAACCTGTTGGAGGCACCTCTTTCTTTTTTCCAGCTTCCCAAGGGACTGGGACTGTCATTGCCACTCTAGAGCACTGTTACTCTAGAGCTCAGGGGCAAATGTCCTGGCTTTTCCCTGCCTCAGGGATGGTGTAGCTCATGTTACATAAATAGCCCTGCTCTAATTATAGTTTACATTATAAGATGGACAACTTGGTTAAATTAACATTGGTATAAAAAGCTTAGGTTTGCAATTTCTTCATTTTGGGGAACCTTACATTTCTAAAAGCAAAGTTAACTAGAGATTGATGGGGGATAAAAGGCTGACCTCATCTTCGGCATATGACAATTACTTAGCTACTACTTCAACATTATTTTACTGTCATTGCTTTCTCTTGCTACTTTCAAACCTATTACTCATGATGTCAGTCTCCATCAGAGATATCCTGCTGAGTTCACTTTCTCCCAGACAGCCGTGGTTTGGGGGTTTTGCTGCCTAGCCTGTGTACTTTCATACTAATAGATGTTTTACGGAAAATCAGCACACGGAAACCACATTTCATCTTTTTCCCACACATGTACAGAATGAAACATTTTAACTCCCGAAGCTGGGCCTCCTCCTACTGGGAATTCTGCAGGAATGAATCAGATTACATTTCTCCATAATGCTGATTTCATAAAAATTAAATTTCCTAACAGTCAATACATCTCTCTCATAATTTCATATACCAATCACTTACTCTAAATATCTTTGAGAATTATATCAGTTTTAACATTTCACAGAATACAATTGGAAATTTTTTTGTCAATGCTAATGTCATTCATTAACAAAATATCCAAGCAAGGTTTCTCTCTTCTGCCCCTCAACAGGTAATGTTACAAATAGTCCTATTTCCTCAAAGTGGATATATATACCCTACTCTGACTTAAGAAGTGGCCTCATCTTTACCATATTCCCAACAAATAGTTGGATCACACTCAGATTTTGCTAAGGAGTATATATGTACTGGGTTATAGTAAGAACAACTATTCAAAATACATATTGTGCCTACTGTGCTTTGATCTGCCAATCAACATTCAGATATTCACATGCAGTTTATCCCATTGGGGAAGCAAGTGACTTTCTTTTTGTTGTTGTTGTTGTTGTCTTTTAAGATTTTATTTATTTATTAGAGAGAGAGACAGAGCACAAGGGGGGGGGGGCGGTGCAGAGGGAAAGGAATAAGCAGACTCCCCACTGAGCACGGAGCCTGATGCAGAGCCATCGGGCTCCATCCCAGGGCCCTGAGGATATGACCTGAGCTAAAGTCAGATGCTTAACTGACTGAGCCACCCAGGTGCCCCAGGGAAGCAAGTCATTTTCAACAGAAATTCCTTCATAGAGACCCAGGGCTCTTCCTTCCCACACTACATTGGCATGGGCCATTCCATCCCTATAGCCATGGGACTTTTCCTGAATCTCCCACCCAGTAAATTCTAAAGGGTCTTTTACCACCACATGCCTAATAACTATCCCTGTTGTTTTTTAAGAGAGTGGGGGTGAGGGGCAGAGGGAGAGGGAGAAAGAGAATCTTAAGCAGGCTCCATACCCAGCTCAGGGCTCGATCTTACAACCCTGAGATCATGAGCTGAACAGAAATCAAGAGTCAGCGATGCTTAACCGACTAAGCCACCCATGTGCCCCAATAACTATCCCTTTTTTCGTAGAATTTGCAAAGTTGATCATTTGTGTTAATAAATGAATTAATTGCCTAAGATAAATTATTAAAAATGTAAAAGTTTAGATGTTAAGCCTAGAGTGCAAGAGTTCCATAAAGAAAACACTTGTCCAGGGGCGCCTGGGTGGCTCAGATGGTTAAGCGTCTGCCTTCAGCTCAGGTCGTGATCCCAGGGTCCTGGGATCGAGCCCCACATCGGGCTCCTGGCTCAGCAGGGAGCCTGCTTCTCCCTCTCCCTCTGCCTCTGCCTCTCCCCCTGCTCATGCTCTCTCTCTAACTCTGTGTCTCAAATGAATAAACAAAATATTTTTTTAAAAAAGAAAACACTTGTCCCAACAGTTTTATTTAAATAAAACCCTATTTTAAAAATTCCTTCAAAAGTATACTTTAAAGTTAACTATTTCTGTGAAAAATAAAATGAAACATCAGCAATAGCTTTTACATTCTTTTAACTAACATAAGAGGCAACCACTTAAACAACAGAGAATGATCATTTTTGTATATGCCCTTGTTATATGTATTTTAAATTCTGTTAAACTTCAGTTACACAATAGCTTATTTTGTTTTAGAGCTTTACCTTATTCAAGCAGTGAATACAGAGACATTCAATGAATCTAAGAAGTTCTGAACTAATCAGGTAGTAGTTTCCTCCCTGTGGGGTTATGAGGCCATGACCCATTTCTCCCTTGAAAAAAGAGAGGGAAAGAGGGAAGGGGAAAAAAAAAACAAAACCCTGCTTTCTGCCCAAAGGCTTTTCCAATTTCCTCCATTTAATCCTTCCCGAGTCCAGCACCAATATGGTGATCCAATTCGGAAGAATCAAATTCTGCGTTTAAATTCAGCAGTCCCATTGACCTTATTCAAATGCTGCATTTGATTTTTTATGCTAATTTAAACTCAGTGAGAATTTTTAAATAAGGGAGATAATTAATCCCAGCAAATCGTATTTCTAGTTAAATGTCACAATTAAAGTAATTCCATTTTTTGCTCTAAAATTAGAAACCTGATGTGAAAGTTTGTTTCTCAGTTTGCGGTTTCGCTCCGCTCCTGCCTCCCGCAGATTGGCACTCGGCTGCTCTGGCGGCAGCATGAATCTCCTCACTGCAAAGCTGAAATTCCAATTTTATTCCAACGCAACTGTCAAAACGCCCTGAAGCAAGCTAAAAACAAGGAAAAAAATCTTTGGTATGATTTCACTTTCCATGTGTTCTTTAATGAAAAATTTATCATTCTAAATATTGGTGTTTACTCCTAGTTAAATACTTTTTTTTATCAAAAAGAAAAAGAAACTGAGATTCAGTTGCTATTATTTCACAGGGAAATATAACAGGCCTGATGTTTCCCTGACAATTCTGTTATTTTCTTGTGTGGAAACACTGTATTTATCATATACTGTATGGCTGGTGATTCAGATATTGTAGAGACCTTATGGTGAACTGATATAGATGTAAACTCTTTATGCCAGATTGTTTAAGCAGAAAAAAACAAAATGCACTTAATTAACATCTGATGTGTAGCTTTTGCAAACACAAATGCAATATTTGTGTTTGAGCACTGGCAGTAATGACTGTGAACTATGCTATTAATGTCTGGTTTAAAGATGCTTGTGGTAGGACCACGTCTGGAATAACACAAATAAAAAACTGCATTCAGACAAAACAATAGTGAAGAGCCCATTAGAAAAATGAAAAAGTAGCACTCAGAAGAAACACATGTATTTTTTTCCCTTTAGATCAAAATTATTTTCAAAAATAGTTCCAGGCACCATCATCTTCAATCAATTAAAGGTGAAAAAGTTCTATATATTTTCCTCTACAGAAAGATTTTCATTTTAAGGGGTCAGAAGTGGCTTAGGGATGTCTTTAGAAGTTCTACTTATTTTATTAAGCTACTCTTTGGTGGGTAGTATCAAAACATGCGTGAGCAAAGAGTCGAGATGGTATTTTGGGACATCTTGCATTCTTATATTTGAAGAGAGAACTTCAAATTTGTGGATTGCATTGCAGTTTGAATAAAGAGAGAGACTCTTGTGGACCGAGGTGCAATTCCCTCACTAAATATGTTTTTACTGAAATCCTGCTGGGTGCCAGGAACCATGCAGGTTGCTGGGTATAAAAACACAAAGAAGGTTAAAATAAGATAAAACCTAGCCTAAATGTGGTCTTTGTTTCAGAGTAATTCACACAATAACAAACAGACTTGGAACTCAGTTTCAAAAACATAAACAGTTATTACACCAAAAGCAATTAGTCATCGTTACATATCGGTACTTTACAGTTTTGAGAACATGTACTAAAGGGAAACCGCAGCCGAAACAGGTCATTTGATGACTAAAGCCATAAAACTCAAACATAATTGCTAAGCCTGATGCTCCCATGGCAGGAAGAATGCGGGACTCTTACGCATGCGGCTGGATCCACAGAAAATAAAGCTATTGAAAATCATATGGCCCTGGGCTAGGAGTGGCTCCCCAAGGCTCTGAAATCAAGGTCCGCCTCTTGAGGACACTGCCTCTGCTCAGCTGTCTTTCTGCAAAATGCCTAAGATGCTTTCCCACTCTGTGAGGAATTGGGAGCCTCAATTTCTCATTTCTGAATCTCTCAGAGTAACAATAACTCAGAAAGGAAATTACAGAAGTAGGTACACATTAGCATCGT